GGAGGTGTGCTTGGTGGTGACAATGCTTTGCCTTCAGATTCCTGGGTTCTGGGTCTCATGACTCAAAATATTTTCCCTCTCTATGTCTTGCATCACATTATTTCATATATTTAAGTTTGCCCCTGAATATCAACTGACCATATTTAGGCATGTCACATGTTTTTGTCAATAATATTTGATAGTCTGGACAAGTCCTTATTATTTGTCCTCTGCTTCGTCTCTGTCAGTCATCTTGTTTTTAAATTCAAATTTATCAGCACCCTCTGTCATAAGTTTATGTTTTTATTAGGTACGGAAGTTGGAGTTCTAACTAGGTGAAGCCTTAGCAACTGGTTGCCAAGCAGTAATAACGTGTGGTGGAGTTCAGTCAAACCATTGTCGCACAACAGCAGTTGAGCTAAACAACTTGGTATTGAAACCCATCTTCTACTCAGGTCCAGGTCAGAGGTAAATACTTATAAGTGGCAGATTGGGGGGACTCAGCTGACCCGTTGCCCCTCCATATTTTTTAAGTTCTTTTTAAAGAATGGAGAAAACTGTATTCAAATTTAAGTGTAAGAGAGCCATTTCCAGCAATCTAGAGGTGTCACAATTATAGTTTTTCTCAGCCCTACCATGGTTGTTGTGAATGTCTTTCCCTGGACCCCTTTATTCTCAATTTCTTGATTTTCCACTGCTTAATACTCATTATATGACATTCAGTGTAAACATTGCCTGCTCTATCCACTGGTCTAATTTAATTCTAGTGTTTTGACTAGCCTTGACTTTTCCCACTTCTTTAAGGCTGTGCTTATACTCACTGCCTATGCCCAGCCAACTGCTCTCCAGGGCTCCAAGTAAATAAATGAAAATAAGAATAAAAAAAATAAATCATTACTTAACACATTCATCTCATATTTTCGATCATTCAGCAATTAATTTTGCATCTTTTATTAGAACCTTTCTGAGGTTGGTTGTCATGGGAACATGTTATTGAACAGTTTGATGGGTGCATCCATGTACTTGGTTCCCATAAAAGCTCAAGAGAAGATCGACCTTGAGCCAAGAATGCAGCGGCTTGCCCACAGACTGCAGTAAGTTGGAAGTTTCGACCACTTTTTTTTTATTTTCCTCAAATGGAAAGCAACTTGTCAATCAATCAATCAAACCATCCTCTGGCATCCATCACCTTCATCCTGTGTCATCTTGTTGATCTCTTGCCACTAACATTCTAATGGAAAGCAACTTGTCAATCATGTTCTGACATCCTTTGGGTGCATATTTCATCAAAAAATTCCTCTACACACTTTCCTCTACCAGAAGGTTATGGTACAGATTTTGTTTAGAACAAGCGCATCGATCCGTTGTGGAAAGAGGAGCGTGAGGGGAACAGTCTTGTACTATTGCGACTACAATATTGTGAGCGGAAATACTACCGTCTAATTTACAATCAAACAGGACTAGGGAGATTGGAAGCGCACAAAACATTAGTTAGCATTTTTATTTCCCAACCATAAAGGTGATTTGTATTTAATTTATCATTATCATGACA